GGCTGGCCTCGAACCGCTGTTGCTCAGAGCTCAAACTCTTGAGTGAGCTCTTAACCAACTGAGCCATTCCGCCGGCCCGCCCCTTCCTTTTTAAGGCGGAGTAATATTCCATTGTGTGTATGTACCACACTTTGTTAATCCATGCATCTTTTGATGTACACTTGGGTCACTTCCAGCTTTTGTCTATTGTGAAGATTGCTCCTATGAATCGGAAGTTAAATTTTAAATGAAAGTGCTTTTGAGACCAGTGCTGAGTTCTCCTTCCCTTGATGCAACAGACACTTGACTTGGATCCTAATTGCTTTCACGGAGTAATTATGGGCCCATAATATTGAAGATTCTCCTCCTGTGTTTTCTCTACATTAACATCAATGTTTGCAACACTGAGCCTTTAATTATGTCAGCCGGTACTTTTGATCACCTCCTTTTGCCAGGCTCTGTGCTATGCAGGACCGCAAAACCAGAAACTGCCTTCAAGGAGCACATAGTTTTATGTGTAAAAAAAAATAGATAGATAGATAGATAGATAGCTATGGTAAGTCATAACAAGATATATAAAGTAATAGAAAATAAAAAAACTTCTTCACATGAAGGCCACTGAGAAACTTGAGCTCAAGTTTCAAGATTGCGTTTAAACACAACCTGAAGTTAGTGCAAGCTTGCCATAGACTTTTGGCTGCTCAGAATACTCCTGGTCACCTCAATGTAATGGGGGATGATTGTTAACCTCTGTGGTGGGCTTTGTTGCAGTTCAGCTGCTGTGGAGGGATTTCCTACAAGGACTGGTCCCAGAACATGTACTTCAATTGTTCAGAAGACAACCCCAGCCGTGAACGCTGCTCTGTGCCTTACTCCTGTTGCTTGCATACCCCCAGCCAGGTGAGCACATGTCCCACCTCGTTTTCTCCTGCGCAGTGGTCTGTTAGTTTCCGATTAGGGCAGCTGCTGCTGGGACTCCCCATTCCCTTGCTTAACCAATCAATTTTGTTGGACAGCCGTCAGGTGTTTTTCTTCACTCCAATCTGATGGCTCTGTTAACCTTTCACTCCTGTAGCCCACATGGGGGTTCAGAAGTGGACCCGGATCTCACAGAGGAAGTGAAGCCTGTATTTAGCAACTTCCAACCTAGCATCCTCCACATAAATTCTCTAACAATTGAGGAGTTTAGGAAGGGTGGGAAGCCCATCAGCTAAGGTAGGGCCTGAAAGAAAAATGTGATTGGAATGGGAGTCCCATTTGACTTTTCATCCCTCTCCCCAGGCAGTGATCAACACCATGTGTGGCCAAGGTATGCAGGCCCTTGACTACTTGGAAGCTGGTAAAGTCATCTACACCAATGGCTGTATTGACAAACTGGTCAACTGGATACACAGCAACCTCTTCTTACTTGGTGGTGTGGCACTGGGCCTGGCCATTCCCCAGGTAACTTACCCTGTAAGACTTGTGGGTCTCACAATTCTGCAAAGACATCTTTGTTGGGGGGAGGGCAACTGGGGATCAGCTAGGGTGTCAGGCCCTGACATTTCTAAGGAGCAGGGGATAAGATGGTGCTGAGCATGCTGGGAAGGTTGAGTCAGGGGAAAACAAAGGCATTGCTCATCGCTGAGCACACAATCCTTCCTGCCTCTCCCAGCTGGTGGGAATCCTGCTGTCCCAGATCCTCGTGAATCAGATCAAAGATCAGATCAAGCTACAGCTCTACAACCAGCAGCACCGGGCTGATCCATGGTACTGAGAATCCACCCTGCACCTCCTCACTATGACGACCGGTGGGCCTCATGGACCAATAGCAGTGGGTACAGCTCTCAGCGCCACATGGAGGCTTGGATTCCAGCCCGCCAGCGACAGCCCAGTGGGAAGTAGCGAACTCCAGACAGGCAGAAAGCAGGTGCACAGGTGGCTCAAGTCTCGGGAGGATGAGCTCTTCTCCCCTTCCTAGCTCTCAGCATTGTCAGAGAGTTATTCTGTATTGTTTCTAAGCTTACCCATTTGAACTTACGGTTGTTGTTTTTTAAATTTTGTCTGGGCAGAGAGGTTTGGGAACAGCAGTTGCATAGAGTCATGGGGCACAGCCGCTGCTTTTCACCAAGGCACGCCCACCGACAGCTCTACTCAGGCTGCTTCTGAGCTTAATGGACGCACTGACTCCAGCTGTTTGCCAGCAAGGCCTGGCTGGAGAGTGGACAGCAGCAGCCCTGCCTGAAGTCCAGTTGGCCTGAGACCAGCTCCAGAAGGGAAGGGAGTGGAGGCAGTGAGCTTGGGGGTTGGCTGGGGACAGTTGTATGTGCTGGGTGCTGGGTAGGAATGGAAGGCGATATGTTTACTAAATGCCTGCCCTGCCATCCTCCCAGGTTGTCAGAGTGCGCTACATCCTGCCCCTCCCTCATTTCCATGGAAACATGGCAGCAAGGGCACGGGGTACAACAGCAGCCAAATTCATCCCTCTCCCCAACCCCCAACACCCCTTTTGAAAAGTGTTTGGGACCATGGTCTCTATATTCTGCAGCCGGCAGAGGTGGAACTGAGCCATATGTGCCCTTGAATTCCTCCCTTCTGGACCTCCCTCTAGAGCAAGTGGGGTTTCTTTAACCTTGGCAGGGTGCAGAGGAGGCAAGGTAACACCTTCCCCGCCCCCCCCATTCCCCTGCACCATAGCTCATTATTTCTACAGTGTAAGAAGCAGGGACCTTGCTGGGGCAGGGGGAGCCAGAAATGGCAATAAAAGTTTGTTGACCTAAGCTGGACTCCATGAATTTTCCATTCTGGCAACTAGAAGGGGAGGGGTAGAGGGCCCAACTGGTGGGCCCTCCCTCCGGAGGAGACTAGAGACTTCCCTAAATGCCACAGTATCTCTTCAGCTCCATCTCCCTGTTCTGATGGGATAGGTATAATTTATCCCAAAACCTGATATTAATTTTTTTTCCAAACTAAAGTGAATTAAAATTAATTTGCTACCCAAAACTTTTAGGATCAGAGTAGGTAAGGATACATCTAGAAATCAGGATGTAGCACTCTCCGCTGGGGGAGACGGGAACCCGGAGGAAAAAGGCCATCTTTCATCCCCAGTCTGGGTCCTCTAGTCCCCCTCCATCCTTATCTGAGGAGCGGGGTACCACGGCCTATATTGCTTTCGCAAGGACTTAGAAACACTCGAGCCGAGCGAGTGCGGGTTTTCCTCGCGCCCAAGAGGAGCGTGCGAGGCCCAGGGGCGGGACCGGGGCGGGGCTGTCTGGCGCCGTGGGTGGTCCCCACCCCCGCAGCGGCTGGTGCAGGAGCCTCCAACCCGCGCCAGGAGAAGCTGGGGGCTGGGCTGCGTGACCTCACCACCCCGTGTGTCCCCCGAAGTCTCTTCGCGGTCCCCTGCTGTTGGGGGGCTCAGCCTAGGGGCTTGGCTTGGCCAGGGAAAGACTCGAGAGAATCCCTACCGCACTGGAGAGGCCGAGTCTGGAGCTCTCTCCCCGTCCCCCAGTTTCTCCTAAGCGAGCCTTCTGCTCCTGGGAGGGCCCTTTTCCAGCAGCCTCCTGGGGCCTCAGCCAATGTTCAGTTCTAGCTGGTAACAGAACGGAAAGAAAAAATAAAATGATCACAAATAAAAAATTAAAAGTAAGGGCCTTTTATTCTGGGAAAGAAGAGACGTGCATTTTATACTTTTCCATCTTTTGGTGACACGGACCTACAGGTCTTGTTTGGGATTAGGAGTTGGGATGATGCATCTTTCGGGTTCTCATGCCTTTTGAGGTGCTCACCTGACAGGGGGCTTATATCTAGCCTTCTGGGCTTGGACAAAAGGGTGGGGAATTTCTGCCCAGTCCCCCAGGTCTTAAAAACACCCTGAGCAAATGTTCAGAAGCTTGTTGTATCCGTCAGTGTTTTTAGCTAGGTTCGGTTCTCAGCATCCCTGGTTCCTCAGTATCTCTCTAGCTTCCTTTCTCTTTGGTCCGATGCTGGGAGAAAAATATGCCCCCATTTTAAAAAGGTTTTTTCATTGTTATTTCATGTTTCAGTTTAATTTGCTCCCTGAATTTCCATGTTTGTAATAACCCTAGTTGCAAGCGTGTGGGGTTAACACCAGTATCTTAGAACAGCCATCAAATCTAGGCCTCAAAGATGGATGAATGGAAGAAGATTCTTGTGGCAGCAGAAATCAGACTGGATGGGCAGAAATGGAGATAAAGACGTGAATGAAGGATACTGAAAATCTGGCTGAGGTGACATGGCAAGAAAGGTACCACTAGGTTCTGTGGGCCTCAGACCCTACAATTTAAACAGACTTGAGTCCAGGAATGCCAATTTTGCAAAATGTTCAATGAAATTCTGATTCCCTCTATATTTGTTTTCTTTTGCTGCTGTAACAAACTGCCAGACATGTAGTGGCTTAAAACAACACAAAATTGTTTTCTTACAGTTCTGAGAGGCAGAAGTTCAAAATGGGTCTCACTGAGCTAAAGCAAGGTATGAGCAGAGCTGAGTTCCTTCTGAGGGCTCTAGAGGATCCATTTTCAAACTCCTAGAGGCCACTTGCATTCCTCCGTGCCTGGCCCCTTTTTCCATCTCAGAGCACATCACTCCAATTTCTGCTTCTGTGGTCCATCCCTTTTTCTTTCCGACACTCCCATGTCCCCCCATAGGACCCTTGTGATTATATTGGGCTCACAAAGATTATCCAGAGTAAGCTTCCCATTTTAAGACTCTTATTTAAACCACATCTATAAAGCCCCTTTTACACACACAAGGTAATATATACACAGGTTCCAGTGATTAGGACATGGACATTTTAGGGTGTCCAGTATTCACCCTACTAGACCCCTTTCCCTCTCTTATGCGTGGCTTAGGGTGGGGGAGATGTAGGAATGAGCTATTGCTGGATACTGGCAAGAGTTTGAGATAGGTGTTTTCTGGCCTTCTTTCTAACAATTACTTAACATTTATTGCGTACTCACTGTGTGCCAGGCACATATCTATTACAGAGTTTAATAGGTGGGTCCTTGGTTTTTCTGATTGTCCCTATCCTGAAGACCAGATATGTTAACAGGGTCAGGGACTGGTTTCAAAAAGGGGACGTAAAAAGGGCACAGCGTCTTCTACCAGAAGAGCTCGCCTGGTCCATTACTCTAAGGAAGGTCAGTAATATTTTGGAACGCTCCCCTCCAAACAACTAAGAGTAATTAGATATTCCAAATTGTCATAGATAAAACACTTAAAGGGGTGGGTGGGGGGGATAAAGCTCTAGAACTCAGGATGGAAGTTAAGCCCGTAGAGTCTTCTTATTACCATTCCAGGGACTTGGTAAATAAATCAGATGAATAGAATAGAATAGAATAGAATAGAATAGAATAGAATAGAGAATCCAGAAATATTTTCAATCATCAGTATGCACTGACTAATAAACAATAAGGAACACAGTTATGAGAGGAAGGGGCAATCACGAATAAAAGGTTTTAAGACAAATGGATTACAGTATTACAGTATTGAAAAGAAGTAATTTAGATTCATATCTCACCTTATACACTGCAGTGCATTCCAGAGGCTAAAAGAATTAAGTATTTTAAAGCAAAAAAAAAAAAAGAAAAGAAAATCAGAATATCATATTTGTCCTAGCTGTAAAGAGTTAGAGTGGACAGCTTTCAGTGCATCTGCTCAGGTCACAGAGATTCCTCCTGTTTTGGAAACTGGCCATCTACTCAAGCCTTAGGGGTGAGTCTTGAGCAGCCATATTGGTACTAAAAGTTGCGGTCCCCTAGACATAGCTTACTGGATCAGGCTTGGGGCACTTTATTAGAGTCCTCCGGCTGTTCTAACAAAGGACCACAAACTGGGTGGCTTAAAACAACCTAAATTAGGGCCGGCTGAGTGGCTCAGTTGGTTAAGAGCTCGCTCAAGAGTTTGAGCTAACAGCGGTTTGAGTCAGCCCGAGCTGAGCAGCCGTGAGCTGCCAACAGGTGGCGGGATGGCTCAGCTAAAAAACAAAAAAAAAACAAAAAAAAAACCAAAAACAACCTAAATTTATTGTCTCACATTTCAGAAGTCATAGGTCAAGGTATCGGTAGGGCCCTGCTCCTCTGGCGCCTCTAGGGGAGGGTTCTTACCTCTTCCCGCTTCTGGTAGCCCCAGGCTTTCCTTGGTTTCTGTCAACTTTACTGCTGCCATCTCTGCCCCTGTCTTCACATGGTGATCTTACCCCTGTGTCTGTGTCCCAATTTCCTCTTCTTATGTAGACACGAGTCATGTTAGAATAAGGGCCCTCTTTACTCCAGTATGACCTCATCTTAACTAATTACATTTGCAAACATCCTGTTTCCAAATAAGGTCACATTCTGAGGTACAGGGGTGGGGATGAGGGTTAGGGCTTCAAGGTATCTTTTCTGGGGGGACACAATTCAACCCAGAATGGGCACCTAGTGCAAACTTTGCCAAACAGTTCCTTTCCTGGGACTTTGGAATTAAGAATGAGATTCTAGTCACAGCCTGGGCTGAATGGTCTGCTGAAGAAAGAGAAGGCAGAGCAAAGCTGAGAGGCTCAGCCTTGTCACACCTATGGACTAAGTAGCAGAGAAAGTTTGTTTACAGAAAGAGAATGGAACAGATTGGGGGTGGGGCAGGGAGGCAGAGACAAGGGGCAAAGGAAAGATATTTATGGTCCTACAGCTTTTCTGCAGCTCCACGGCTGTCCTGCCTTGGGCTTCCTGAGACACTGCTTACAGAGAACCTGCTTTGTTTGCTTAAGGAAGCTCAACTTGGTTTCTGTTACTTACAAGCAAAGCTAATTTAAAAAGCTATAATAAGAGTAAGATACTATATTAGTTTTCTATTGCTGCTGTAACAACTTACCACAAACTTTGTGCTTAACAAAACACACATTTATTATCATACCGTTCTGTAAGTCAGAAGTCTGCTATGGGTCTCACTGGGTTAAAATCAAGGTCTTGGCAGGGCTGCATTCCTTTCTGCATGTTCCAGGGGAGAATCTCTTCTCTTGCCTTTCCCAGCTTCTTGAAGCCCCCTCCTCCCATCTTCGAAGCCAGGGAGAGCAGGTCAAATCCTTCTCACAACACCATCTCTCTGGTGGTTCTCTGCAGCCAGGAAAGATGTGCTGTTTTTAAGGACCCATGTGATTAGATTGAGCCCACCTGCTAATGTCCCCATCTCAGGGTCTTTAACAGGTTCTGGGTATTAGGATGTGGACATCTTTAGGGCCCATTATTTTGCCTCCCACAGATACACAATAAAACATATGACCATTTGTAATAAGCTGGATGACTGAAAGTTTAATGGTCTTTCTTTGTACTGTTTCTTTTTCTTATAAAATTGCTTCATTCTATTTGAACAACTCAGTCTGAAGCCTTGACCCCTTAAAGGTCTTTATGAAGAACATAGGGTCAACTCTCTCAGATTCGAGGACCTTTATTTAGCTGCTTTTTCAAAGCTGAAGGTTTAACTATCCCAGAAAGACACTAAATGAGGACATATTCCCAAAAGGCCTGATTGGAGCTGGGAAGGAATGACCAGAATGGGATCAAATGCCTATTCCCCACTAGAGAATTGCATATATTAAAATGTTCGGCTGGCTGAGTGGCTCATCAGTTAAGAGTTGGCATGGGAGCGCGAGCTCTGAGCAGCAAGGAACCGGGTTTGGATCCCACATGGGCCAGTGACGCTGCGCCTTCTACAGCTAAGATGGTGAACAACAGCTCGACCTGGAGCTGGGCTGCCGTGAGTTGCCGGCAACGGCGTAGGCTGC